ATTATCTCCACGCAGATATTTTATATTGTTTGCGGCACTGCCGTCATTGTACTTACGAGCWGTGTGTTACCTAACGATATTGTATTCGTTTTTGCAGCGGCTATATTATACACACACACAAACACGCACATAATATATACCAATGAGTATTATTATATACGTATCTATATAATAATATATAATATGCGAATGTGCCCCGACGGTCGGTCCCGTATAGGTAAACGTAATTATTATACGTAGTAGGCATCTATATTATACTTTAACATTGAGAGTACATATACCGAATAACGAAACGCGACCATAGTATGTGTTATATTTCATTCAAGTTGATTATTTTATCAAAAGTGGATTAAACTGTTTAAGCATAAAGCAATTGCTGGGTACCTGCGCACCACTCAATAGATTATAACACAGTTTAAATGCTTATAATTAATTTACTTGGTATATTGTTACGGGTATACTTGGTTTTTGATATTCTACTTAGGAATATAAAATCAAATACTATACGTATGTGTGTTGCCGCTAAAAAAAAAAAATAAAAAATAAAACGTTTAAAAACATTAAAAGTATAATAATTTATTAAGTTTTTGAAAAATTGTGTAATATCTCAAGTTACTTATGTAAAAAACGATATTTTAATTAATTTTACCCAAAAAAGGTCAGCGATAAAATATGTGACAGTGATAAAATAATAGTAAAGTTATAAATAGGTATTTAACGTTTAATAACGAAAGKTCGGAATTTGTGATCAATTTGTTAGTATGTGTTGCCTTTGCCTACACATATTAGATGTATAATATAGTATAAACAGCAATGTCACCTATGCTGTATGTGACGCCATTTTATATGTTATGATAAGTAGGTACCTACGTTATACATATCAAGATTTCGATAAAAATAATAACTACGAGTGTGAGACTCGTGAACAAACTGTAAAGATTTTCTAACCTAACCTAACGAAATTTTAAATTATATATATATAATATATATATATAATTCTGTATAATTGGTAATAGTATAATACTTCGCACGCATGTTCATCGTTTAAATCGTTTAATGCATGACGTTTATAAAACGCGCATAATTCGTCGATCGTGTAATCAAACGTATAGTATCAACACGGTTTTTTGGTCGAAAAATTTTGGGTGAACGCGAATATGAATTAATTGCCAACATATAGCTGTGTAGACGTAAATATTATCATTTCACTGTCGGGAACGCGCGCGACGACTTCGAACCGTGGTTTGTATCGAATCTGATGTATAGAAAGCTTAAAGTGAAAGGATTCAAGCAATGACGGATTGATGATGCAGCCTCATCTCTAATAATACATAATGATATCAGAATAGAAACACACGGAACGGGTCAAAGTTTACGCACGACTGAACAATATGGGTTCAACTTCTATAATACATAGGTACTGTTTCCATGTGACACGTGTAAATCAAACCGATTTTTGCATATTATTTTCAAGGGTTGGCGCTGCAATATTTTAGTAAAATTAAAATGATAGGTACCCAAAACCCACCTCTACATGCATCATATGTGCAAAACGCTTTTTACAT